AAAAGCAGAGAGATGAATGACTTTCTTGTCGACCGGATCCCCAATCTATATCCGAATTCATCACGCCATTGTAGCCAGTAAAATAGCATTGTCTTGACTTGCTATCAAGCTTGACCTCTCACTTTTGGAAGTGAACAAAATTACTCGCAACAAACACTCTCAAGTGTCATAACGACACACTATTATCGGTCCAGAAGCCTCTTCTGGAACATCCATTCAACTGGATAGGAAGGAGACAAATTGATCACGTCAACCGCTGTCTTAATGCGCTCACCCCAAAAAGATCTTGGCAATTTAGCTTGTGGTAAGGCAAACATCCTTGTTTCTTTCCACAATGGTGCGGTTTCTCCTCTCGTAACTCATTTTGTTGAGAGTCCTTCTTAACTGTCTTTGCGTGCCGATACCTTGCTTGCGACAAGATTCATCAAATGGCCCATATGTATTCACCACCATTTCGATCGATGCACTGTCAAATTTTGCCGCTGTTCTCTTTCAATCCATGGCCTGAAATGCTTAAATACTTCTAAAACTTGATTTTTAGTTTTAGTAGAAAAGCCCAAACTTCCGTTGAATAATCATCAATGAAAGTACAAAATAAAGTGCACCACTATGTGTTCTAACTTTTAAAGGACCACAAACATCCGAATGAATCGAACTCCAAAAACATTTTCTTCTTCTAGAAGCACATTTTTATGAAAAGAAACTCTAATGTTGTTTACCTGCCAAACAATGAACACAAGTTTAAAGAATGTGTACCTTTTCCAACCGGGTACGAAGCTCTTCTTGAACATACCTTGCAGCCCCTTTCAACTTCATATGGCCAAGCCGCTTGTGCCATAGATTTCAGTAGAAAGTATCTTCTTTCAAGTCGCATTGACAACACCTTTACAAATTTTCCTTGCATCGAATAAAGTGCATGAGTCCTCTAAACAACTTAGCCACCACCAAGGAACCCTTTGTGATGCTTCATCTTCCCATCACACGCAAATGTGTTGTTGAAGCCTTTCATCAATCTAGCTTTCCCAGTAAGAGATAAATTGGAGGCGAAATGTCGGAACAGCCTCACGTCCCTTTTAAGCCATAACTTGCAAGCCTAAATTTGGTTCCTAAGAAACTCACCCATATCCTATAATCCTTGGACAAACCCTTCATTTACCCATTCGAAAAACCATAATCCCTTCGGTTAGGTATGAAGAAATCACTCCGAGAAAGTCAACATTGAAAAGAAGCACCAGGAATCAATCACCCAATTGCTCTCTTGGCCCACAAAATTGAATACACTCATCTTCATTTAAACGACTCATGAGATCAGCATTGGTAGTAACTGCCTGTGTGTCCCCCTTCCTTTCCTTCTTGTCCTACACTTTTGTCAACGCCCTTTTTCTCCTTATCTTGAGCTTTCGTCATTGCCGCTTCATGTGCCCTTTCTCATGCAATAATAGCAATCAATGTCTTCTTTGAAATGAAAGAACCATCTTTCGATTTGGTCACGGCTTTGATCACGACCATGGAGAAGGTCTAAACGTCCTCCCCTTGTTTGCTTCGATCTCTCACAAACAGAATGCTTCGAATGAGAGAACCTGCTGGTTTCTTCTAGTTTCTTCATTCAACAGGCACGTATTGACTTGGCCATTGTGACAGACTCCATCGGGCGCTGAATTACTGACAGGTGCACAACCAAACGTCCCCAACTTTCGGGCAAAGAACTCAGTAGCCATCAAAGCTGCAACTCATCTCAAAAACACATTTTCATAGAAGCCGTTGGTTAACAAACTCTTGTATTTCATTCAGATGTTCCGAATAGGGCTGCCTTCTTTATATTTTAAATTAACCAACTTACGAAACAAAAAGTTTTATTTGTGGCTGATTTCCTATCATAAAGACCCTCTAATTTTTTTTCCATAAATCATTTGGTGCTGAACGTTTCAGAAGCGACATGATGAGACACACTGTCATCAACTCCATTGACGATAACACCGAACGGCTTTTCGATTAAGCCTATTCCAATTGCATCATCCTTTCATACCCTGGGTTTGCCAGAAATCACCCTCAAGGGTCTATATAAAGTCTTTACAAAATATATAGTCCTCCATTTTAAGTTTTCCAAGTTACCTCAAATTACTTCCATTGACGCTGACATAGCGACCCACATTCCCTCCATTGAATACAACACCAAATTAACTAAACCCTAAATAAATCGTAAGCTCTGATACCAGTTGTTAGGGAAAATCGATGTGATATCCCAAAGCAAATCAACTCAAAGGGAAATAAACGATTAATGCGGAAATAATTAAATCAAACGGCAACACAAGATTTTCTACTGGTTCCCTCAATGTGAGGTACGTCCACGGATCGAAATCCGATCCATATTCAACCAAAATAGTTTCGAAATAACGATTAATAACGAAACACTAATATCTCACAAAACCACCCTTAGGTGAATTCCCAAAATAAATTCACAAATAAACAGAGGAAAGACCTCACCAAATAGATGATCCAAAATCTTCAAGAACCAAAGTTGAAGAAGACCAAAATAGACGAACAAAGCTATCTTCAAAACGAAGCAGGCCGAACAAGCACACTAATGTGCTTCCAAGAACAAAAGCAAAGCACCAAAATTTGTCCACCGAAATTGGATCTGATACCGTCCAACCACTCTCTACGGGAAGAAAAAGATTGCTACTGCCTGCGTTTTTACTTGTCTTGTGGAAAAACAATACATCATCCATATTTTGAATCTGGGGTTTTCTTCTCAAAACCTAATTATATCCAATTGAATTGGGGTTTCTTCAAATATAATATATAAAAAATATATTATACTAAACCAAGCCAAATTAAACCTCTTTTAATAAATCAACTGGGTCTCACACTCCAATAAGGAGGTATATCCCAACAGTTTTCAACATAAAATCTCCTTAAAAAAAATTTATTCTTGTTTGCCATTATAATTTCAATAAATGTTTTCTGTTATACTAAACAGCAAAAACAGAGCATAGTTTAAAAAAAAAAAAAAAGGCACAGTCCGACTCAGCTGGGTGTTTTACATCCTATGCTTCAGAGCGCTTTAATTGGAGCTCCTTCGATGAAAATTATTAAAGACTAGGGCGTCACATTCAGGGCCACAAGACTTCTCAGTCTTTGGGGTAAAACTTAGAAGAAGAAAATTCAGAGTCTCAAAAACATTTAAAAAAAAATCAAACTAGACATTTACTTCCAGCACAGAAAATCACCTAAAAATTTGTACTCTGTGAATTCATTCTAGTTAAACCTCAAAACACTTCCAATGAAACCTCAATTCCAAGTGGGTGGTCTAATAGCATCTTGGTCATTTATTTTCTTGTTTCTTTATTCTCTAGGCTCAGGCAACAATGAGACCGATCAACTCGCATTGCTTGCATTAAAGTCCCAAATAATTGACGATCCCTTCAATATTTTTAGCTCATGGAACCATTCAATCCATTTCTGCCTGTGGATCGGGGTCACATGCGGCCGCCGCCATCAGAGGGTCGTTGTGTTGGACCTCCAGTCCCGGAATTTGTCAGGCAATGTTTCGCCACACATCGGTAACCTAAGCTTTCTCAGAGCACTGCACCTCCAAAACAATAGCTTGGGTCAAGTAATTCCCCAAGAACTTGGCCGCCTGAGAAGACTAGAAATCTTCAACCTTAACAACAATTCAATTGGCGGTGAAATTCCAGCCAATTTATCCAGTTGCTCTAAGCTCATCGCCTTTCATGTTGCTTACAACCACCTTGTGGGGCAACTTCCTGTGGAGTTTGGCTCCTCTTTGCCAAAACTCAAGGTTTTACGTGTTAAACATAATCAACTTAGTGGAGGTATTCCTTCTTCTTATGGAAATCTATCAGATCTTCGTGAATTTTCTGTGGCCATAAATAATTTCCACGGGAGTATTCCTGATGCTTTTGGAAAATTGACAAATCTTGAGGGTATTGCTATGGCTACAAATAATTTGTCCGGGACAATTCCTGCATCAATCTTCAATCTCTCTTCTATTAGAGATTTTGATGTTCAAGAAAACCAAATTGGAGGGACTCTTCCTTATGAAATAGGCAATGCTTTTCCAAATCTTGAGTTTCTTAGTATTGGCGCTAATCAGTTTACTGGATCCATTCCTGTTTCAATCTCCAATGCTTCAAATCTTTATTACCTTGATCTAGGAGAAAATGAGCTTACCGGAGGAGTGCCAACTTTGGAAAAGCTGCATAACCTTCAGCAGTTGTTTGTTCATTCAAATCGTCTCGGGAGTGGTCACAGAAGCGACTTGGACTTCCTGTCCTCTTTGATCAATGCCACTAGTTTAGTTTCACTTAATCTTGACAACAACAATTTCGGAGGAATGTTGACTGAAACTATGGGCAACCTGTCAACTAATCTTGTAATCATATATCTCGATCAAAATCAGATATCAGGTAGCATTCCCTCTGGAATCGCAAATCTCATCAACTTGGAACGCTTATGGCTGAGTCAAAATCAATTTACAGGTAATATACCGTTTGATATTGGGAAGCTTCAAAGGTTACGTGAGTTGGTTTTCTGGAACAATGAACTCACCGGAAATATCTCATCCTCTCTGGGAAATTTAAGTTTGCTAATTACAGTTGATTTAAGTCATAACAATTTTCATGGTATCATCCTTCCAAGTCTGGGCAACTGCAAAACTTTGTTCTTCCTAAACCTTGGGCATAACAACCTTAGTGGCCCAATACCCCAACCAGTTATTAGTCTCTCCTCATTATCAAAGTTGGGCCTAAATTACAACTCTTTGACAGGTCCTCTTCCAGTGGAAGTTGGAAATTTGAAGAACCTTGGTTACTTAAATGTTGGCGAGAACATGTTATATGGTGAAATTCCTGACACTCTTGGTAGCTGTGTATTATTGGAAATACTATCCATGGAGGGTAACTTGTTTCAAGGAACCATTCCTTCTACTTTGGATTCTTTGAGGGGTATGCAATTGTTAGATCTTTCTCGCAACAATTTGTCAGGAAGAATTCCAGAATATCTTGAGAATTTTAAATTCTTGCAGACTTTGAATTTATCTAACAATGATTTTGAGGGTGCAGTACCAATAAAAGGTATCTTCACTAATGCAAGTGCAATTTCAGTTGAGGGAAATAGCAAACTTTGTGGAGGTATTCCTGAATTACAATTGTCTGTGTGCAACTCCATATGGTCCAAAAAGAGGAGACTAACTCTCGCTTCAAAACTGGCAATTTCTATATGTAGTGGGCTTCTAGGGCTTTCTTTTTTGTTGTTCATTCTATATATTTGTTGGTATAGGAAGACAAAAAACGATCTTTCTTCAGTTTCACTAAGAAAATCACTCTTGAGAGTGTCTTACCAAACTCTCTTTAATGCTACTGGTGGGTTCTCTGTAGAAAATTTGATTGGTGTTGGTAGTTTTGGGTCGGTGTATAGAGGAATTCTTGAATATGGTGCAACAATTGTTGCCGTGAAGGTACTCAACCTCCAACGTCATGGGGCTTCCAAAAGTTTCATGGCCGAGTGTAAGGCCTTGAGGAACATCAAACATAGGAACCTTGTTAAGGTACTCACTGCATGTTCAGGTGTTGATTATCAAGGTAATGATTTTAAGGCCGTGATTTATGATTTCATGGAAAATGGAAGTCTGGATGAGTGGTTGCATCCAGTTAACAGAGAAGATGAATTGAACAATGAACCAAAGAAATTAAGTCTTCATCAGAGATTAAATATTTCTATTGATGTTGCTTGTGCGTTGGATTATCTTCACCATCAATGCCCAACACCAATAGTGCACTGTGATTTGAAGCCAACCAATGTTCTTCTGAACAATGACATGACTGGCCATGTAGGTGACTTTGGGTTAGCAAGATTCTTACCAGAAGCCACCCACAGCTTCTCCACAAGTCAAGGAAGCTCAGTAGGAGTAAGAGGATCTATTGGATACGCTGCTCCCGGTAAACATTCTTTCACCCACTTTTCATTAATGAAATTTCCATTCTCTTTTTCCTCTACATTCTTAGGAGAATTCCATTATGAATTTGTATTTTGCATATTGAATTTAAGTGGCACACACAGATATCTTAATTGCCACACCTGTAGAGGGAAAAAATTGAATTCCTTGTATTTTGCCTTCTACAAACACAATCTAAGTAGGCCACGGAATGATGAAGATTTGATGTGGAAGAATTGCTTTCCTCAAAAAACTGATTAATTGCTTCCATTTTTAATACTTCTAATGTGTTTTCTTTTGCATTAGTTTGAGAAATAGATAACAAGAACAAGATTATGATTGCCTATACAATTCCCAAATGCCAAAACAAATGAGAGGAAAAGGAGAGTTATCTTAGGAGTATTCTCATACTTTTCATTTGACATTTTCTCGCTAGTCCTTGTTTCGATTTGAAACAACCAAAAACCTAATTGTTCTGTGAGTAATATGTGTATTGGTGGTTTCTATTAAAATTGGCCCCTAAGTTTGGCATGAGATGGTATTTGATTGGTATGACAAATTAATGGTGAGAAATTTGTTTGTGATGTGTGCTTTATCTGGTCAAACAAATAACAATGAACTACAGTTTTTTGATTTTGAAGGAAAAAATATTGCTTGTTGATTACTTCATAAGAATTTAGGTTGATGTTAACTTATTCAAATTTCAAACCATTGATGGCCTTTTCTGATGAAACAACTGATTTTTAGAAAGGGATTTGAGTGTATTGACCATTTCATTGCATGATTTATTTCTTGTAGAGTATGCTATGGGAAGTAAGGAGTCAACAGAGGGAGATGTGTATAGCTATGGGATTCTCTTGTTAGAAATGTTCACGGGAAAGAGACCCACTGATGACATTTTCAAAGATAGTTTGAACCTTCACAACTTTGTTAGGCTGGCTTTGCCTCATCAAGTGGCAGAAGTTGCAGATCCAATGCCCTTTCGAGGAGGAGAAGAAGAGACTAGCACACAGAACTTGCCCAGCAGAAGCTACGCCAGGAGTGAAAAAATTCGAGACTGCTTGATTTCAATATTGCAAATTGGAGTTAATTGTTCTGCAGAGTTGCCGAAAGAGAGGATGAACATCAGTGCTGTTGTAACTCAGTTGCATTCCATCAGGAACATTTTTCTTGGAACTATGCCCTCTGGGAACTAAATATGTAAGTGAAATCAGTAGGTATACAAAATGTTTTCTGGTTTCAAGATATCATTAAAAATATAATAGGTTTAATTAAGTGCTTTTTCTATGAACGGTTTAATGATTTTGTTATGGGATTGTAATTTATTTGATTCCCTGCACAGGATCGATGCACCCTTCATGAGTAGCACCTGAATCTTGGATGTTGTTATTATTGTAATTACTTTAATTCCTTTTTACATGTGCTTGATTTAATTTTAAATTGTTCATCCATCTCATAAACACTTATCTGTTTCGTATTGACTCTAGTAATTTTTTATACACTACGCCAGTAATTAATTATGTGACTTCTTGTATCCATTAATAATTTGTGATTGGCTTCCTCTTGATTATTGGAGCATACAACAAAAGGCAAAAGTTTGCAAAAAGTTACAAACAAATTAATCATGTTTTATTTCTGGGATGAAATTGGAATTAACTCAAATCTGTCTTCTTTTCTGTCAACTTCATCTGAGTTTCTTCCCTTCACTTGTTTTATTTTTCAGATCATTGATGGTTATGCATCAAAAATATCTACCACGTTTGGAAGTTTTTTTTTTTTTGAGAAAAGTTATAATGCAGTTATATTAAAATAAAGTTTGGGCAGAGTTGCTCTATGTTTTGAAGTTTTGGACCTTATATGTTATGATCTATGAAGCACGAGTGCAGATACAACTAATATGGATATAATACGGATATGCCATTATGGCAAGATCTAAAAAAAATAGGATACAGGTACAACTGGGGTACGTCAATAAATTTTTTATTTTTTGTAATTTATAGTTTGAGATTTAATCTACAAATAAAAATTTAATACCAAAACTAAAAGGAGAAATTACAAAACCAAAAGAGAAATCATAGTTAACAATATCAATAACAAAACAAAGTCTATAAGCTATTTTAATGCCTTTAAATATGAGAAATTACAAAATAAAGTTTCATTCCAAAAGCAAGCTAAGTGAAATTTGAAAACTGGAAACTTCAATTTTCACTTCCATCAATTTCATCATTGAATAATAATTTTTTTTTATTTTTTTATTTTTTCCTTATCTCTGACTCATCAAATAAAAGATTTGTAAGTAAATCAGAACTCTCTAATGTCCCATAACTTGGTGAACTCTCGATGTACCAATCCCGTACCCATGACCATGAAGTACCCATGGAGTACTCAATTGCTAAAAAATGTATAAAAAGTATCCGGTACGTATTTCGAGTACCCAATAACGCATGCAACCCTATCAGTATGAGTACCAGTATCCGATATAAGTACGGCAACATTTTCGAAGTACTCGTGTTGTTGGACAATCTTCACTGTATTTAAAAAGATTTAATTCTGTCGATCGTGTACAAAACAACAACAAGAATAAAGAAATAGAGAAAAGGAGAGAATATGTTTGATTACAAAATCAAACTCGAAATAATAAATAAATAAATAAAAACAAAACGATTTTATTTTGTTACAAAAACAAATTAAAATCTGAATAAAATAAACAAATAAAAACAACACTGAAAGTAATTAAATAACTTACTTGATTTAATTTCTTCGAATTATTTTTCTGATCAAGTCCAGTGTTTAACACTGTCTCCTTAAGACAGATTCGTCCTCTCCACGGTGCTTTCAGAATTCGGACGTCTATCTCCCAGGATGAAATGATCTTCCACAAACAATAGCAGCACTACTATTTGTTTGCCTACGAACACACTAAGTGTTTACACTCTTTCTTTTGAAAATAAAATGCAGCAAGATGAAGATAGAAAACAGAAGTGAAATACGAAATTTCTGAATTTAAACATCAAATGAGGTGGTCCTATTTATAGATGTGAAGGTGGCTCTTCATTGAATTAAACAGGTATGTATCTCTTGGTTTGAATTGAACAGGTATCATACCTGTTGGTTTTGAATTCAAACAGATTTGAATTAATTCAAACAGATAGTAAAACGGGAAGGGCCCTGTTTGGGTGTGCACTAATTGCAAAACATTTTATTTCTGTTTTGAAACCGGGAAGGGCCCTGTTTGGATGAACAAATAATCCAAACCAATTTAATTTGAATTATAGATTTATTTTAATAAAAAATAAAATTAAATTCAAATGTTTTTGGCCCAAAAGATTAGAAGCCCAACCCAACCACACACCACGCACCCCGCGCCCAAGCCCAAGCCCAGGCCCAGCCCAGCCCGCCCGACCGACCGGACGGACGGCGGCGGCGGCGCGCGCGCGTGTGTGGGTGATTTTTGGGTCCAATGGGTCTAGCCCATTTTGCCCATAACCTCTCCTCTAAAACACTTGGGTACCCCTTGGGGCACACCCCAAGTATCTCACCCTAAGCCTTATAAACCCTTTCAAAACCTCCCACCAAATCAATGTGGGACAAGCCAATTTACAACCTTAAGGATTTCCACCAAAACTCCATTTCCATGGAGCACACTTTGGCTTCAATTTCCCATCCACTCGTAATGGTTTTGAGCAACCAAAATATACCACGTGAATCACAACGCGGCATAGAACGCGTTACCACTTTGACCCGAGTAAAAAAGACACTCGGGCCCACCTAAAAAATAGACCGAACTTGAGGAAAAATTAACCATTTCCAACAATCCCCCACATGAATGGATATTTGATGACAACGGAAAGCAACAATATGCAGACTTAAACGAAAGAGCATAAGTCGAAAATATCTTGCATCAGGATAGGTAGTTTTCGGCTTTGAACCTTCCCTAGTGATAACCATCGGACTTACTGGCTAACCAAGATCGGATCGCGACTCTGAATTGTTCAGCCGTTTGTGTAAGCCGAGACAATAGATTTCACACAAAATACTTCTAAACACATCGTGGTTCTCACTGTTTGTGTTCATTTTGGCCTTGAACGCGCTGGTTTTTCATAAGTGTTTCTAGAAATTTAGCCTTTGTATTTCTCATAGAACCGCCCCCAGTTCAAACACTCATATAGGTGATTCTTATTGTGAGTATCTCCTTATACTCGTCTTGATTTTATGTCTTAATCAAGATATAAGTAATCATTAAAAGCAAAAGCTTATCCTTATACCCCTGCAGACAACATATGTTGCAGATATATCACTCTCACCATAGGATGGTAGGATTTTTAATCCCTGTGTGGATTCTGGCGAGCCATACATAACTTAGTTGTCCCTTTGAACTTAGTTTTCGTGGATCTATCCAGTCATATAAGTAGGGTTACATTAGAGACGACTCTTATGTAATAGGCTTTAATCCCATCCCCTTCGATGAACTATACACTACTCTTTTGTTAAAACCTTTTTGTTAACGGATCCGCATATTCTCCCTTAGATTTTATATAATTCTATTGAGATTATTCCGTTTGACAACAATGCCTTACGGTATTATGTCGACGACGAATATGTCGTGACTTACCGTTATACATGTGATTTCTGTGCCCTGCCTATTGCAAGATTGACTATCACAATGAATGCAAATAGCTGGCACAGGTTTTGGCCACATTGGAATGTCTTCTAAGAAGTGACGAAGCCATTCTGCTTCTTCACCTGCTTTGTCTAAAGCAATGAACTCGGATTCCATTGTGGATCGTGCGATGCACGTTTGTTTCGTGGACTTCAAGAAAAACAGCAGCGCCCTCCAGAGTAAAGACAATCCACTAGTGGTTTTTGAATCTTTAGATACCGATATCCAATTGGCATACAATAACCTTCGAGTACTGCTGGATATCGAGTAAAGTTCAAACCATGATCACGAGTAAATCTTAGATAATCTAAGAATTCGAATGATCGCTTTCAATGCTTGTTCCTCCAAGGGTTACTAGTGTGGTCCTACTCAATTTACTTATAGCATAAGCTATTCAGGACGAGTACAATTCATTAGGTACATTAGGCTTCCAATGAATTGGGGAGTATTTTAACTGAGACACTGCATCACATTTATTTTTCGATAAATAAGACTGATGTCTACAGGTGTTCATAGCTAATTCAAATCATCTCTTGATAATTAATCAAGAATTTTCTCAATATAATGAGATGGAGATAATGCATATCACGTTCAAGATGTGTTTAGTAATTTTCATCCTAATATAACATCTGGACGCCCCCACTATCTTTCATATCAAACTCTTTTGTTAAGCAATCTGCTTAGTTGATTTGATCATGTTTTGACTGCTTTCCAATGATAAGCATGTCATCCACATAAGACAAACTATGACATATCCTTGGTCAGTGTTTTTAACATACAAGACGCATTTGTCACATTCGGTTCTATTCTTAAACCCATTAGTAAGCATTGCATGATCAAATTTTTGCATGCCATTGCTTAGGTGCTTGTTTTAATCCATAAAGGGATTTTACAAGTCGACAAACTTTCTTTTCTTGCCCTGATACTACAAACCCTTCGGGTTGTTTCCATATGAGATCTCTTCATTTAGATCACCGGATAAGGCTGTCTTAACATGCCATTTGATGTATTTCTAATTAAACAACGCTGCTTATCAATAAGCAGTGCGAATGGATGTTATTCTTGTCACAGGGGAATAATGTGTCAAAATAATCCAGACCTTCCTTTTGTCTGTAACCTTTAACAACGAATGTCCTTTATACTTGTCAATTGAACCATCTGCTTGTTCATTTTTCTTGATATATATCCATTTTATCCAGAGGTTTAGAGAACCTGGTGGAAGATCCACAATTCCCAAGTATGATTCTACATAATGGATCATTTCATTATTAACAGCATCTGTCCACAAGGTCTTACAGGACCTGGTTCACCATTGCCTAGACCTATGAAAGCTCCTCTTGAGGTTCACTTTCCCTAACAAGGTATGTCAGTAAAAATCATGACCAAAGAAATTTAATCAAGGATGATTTCTGCTCTTTATACTACGTTTCGTGGTTCTATCATTAGTTAAATCCTGTTGGTCGAGACTATTACTAGTCTCTTGTGTTTGATTGTCAGTAGGTCTCTTGACTTTTGTGTACAATCATAAGTTCTTTTTCTGTGACCTTAATTCCTGTCCTTTCTTGTAAGAAGAAAGACAAGTTCAACCAAACCAGCATCCATTAGACATCACTAAAATAGTTACATGCTATTCATGGTATATCTGATTTATAAGTCAGAAACCGATATGCACTACTATTCTGAGCAAACCAATAACACACACAATCTACTGTTTTTGGTCCTATCTTGTCTTTTTAGGAACAGGTACTTCAATTTTGCCAATACACCCAACCATTTTTAAGTTTTTGTAGGAATGGTGGTCG